CAGCAGCCGCTGACTTTTTCTCAGCACTGCCAAGGAATCCCTGTGGGTGGGCGAGGGCTGAGCACTCTGTTAGGCCAGGCCCAGCTCCGGGGCAGTGCTTAGGGGGTGAAGCAGAGCCCAATTTGCCACTGGCACCAAGGCGAGCAGCCCAGAGCCCTTTGCAGATGTGCCCAAGTGCCCTGCACTAGTCAGTCTGCGACTTCATGCAGGACAGACTCAACGGAGAAGTTCCAACTGTAGCAGAAAGGACTCGGACTCAGGAGATGCCCTCCTCAGTGCAGTGCACGGGAGAGGTGGCAGGGCTTGGCTGTGGTCTCCCTGGCTTCTGGGATGTCCTAAGGGCTGGAGAGCCTCTGGACTCCCCATCTCTGTTTGGCTAGGCAGGGAAGTCAACCCTGCTGCCCTGTAGTCACTGCACCCCCAGGGGCCACAATGTAAATGTCTGCCAGAGCCACACACGTTATTGCTCCTGCCCCTCAAATGAGCAGGTTGCTCCCACTTGCCCTGCAGAAGTGGTCCCCCTTTCCCTGCATCCTGATTATGGCCAGACTGCCAACTGCTCATGACCTCATGCAAATGAATATTGTGTGCTTACCTAGGATTGGCTGGTGAGTCAGGTATGCAAATAATTACTGTGTGCTTACCTGGGGTTGGCTGGTGAGCCAGATATGCAAATGAATACTGTCTGCTTACCTGGGATTGGCTGGCGAGCCAGGTATGCAAATTGGCTCATGGAGACTTGATCTGGTTTGAAAGATGCTGCCCCAGAGAAGAGGTGGGGTGAGGATCCACACTATTTGTATAAAATACTAGAGGCCTGATGCACAAAATTCATGCAAGAGTAGGCCTTCCTTCCTCCGACCGCCGGCAGGCACCCGTGACCTGGGCTTCCTTCACAGCCCCGCTTCGCCTGGAAGGTCGTTTGGTCTAATTGGCATATTATGCTTTTATTATTATAGATTCTTCTGGGTGTTTACTAAGGAGCGTAGTTGAGAGAGTGAGGCTGAAATGCCTCTTTCCTTCTCTCTCCTGACTCTGGAGTTCACTTGGGGGCCTCATAGGTGCTGGCAGCTGTCTTTGGGGTTAATGTTTAGTTTATTGAAATGGAGCCGGACAGAGAGGCGAACCCACAGCCCAGGGAGCTGAGATGGGCCTTGCCAGGCATTCTCTTCCTGGGAGGTCCGGACCCGCCTGTGGGCCTGTGTCCCCGGGCGCTCTGGGCGTCGGAGAGGAGGGAAGGACCTTGAAGGACGGGCTCTCCAGGGAGACTCCGGAGGAGCTGGGTTTCATTCCTAGGGAGTTGCTGCTGACCTCTGAGGTCCAGAGGCAGGAATCAGAGAAGAGAGGTGACAAGGTGATGCCTTAATTCAGGTACTCTTACCTTGCAGGAGAGGGTTATTACGGGGGGAGGAGGAAAGATGGCTACTTCTTATGCAACTTTAACAAGTAAAATAAATTCCCCAAATCCAAAAGCAAATGAGGATGGAGAATGGCAAGAGTTCTCTCCCACCCCCACTCTACCCCTCCCCTCGTTACATGTCTCCCACGGAGCTTGGTGATGGGAGGGAATGACCATAATAATAGGAGGTGAGCAGCCCCTGGGAGCCTGGGAGGAAGGGGAGGGAGGCCAGGGAAGGGAGGCAAGTGTGAAAGGAGGCGATGTGTGCCCGGAGCTTATGAATACTCTAATGGCTGTGGGTCCAGAAACCAGGAGTCTGAGAGTCGAATGGTTGTTGTAAATTACACATTCATTGTTGCTGTTTGGTTAGAGCCACATATGTCATAGCAAGAAAAAGCATGACCTGTTGTTGAAATCAGCGGTGCTTTTCCTACAGATGTCAAGATGAGCGGGGACGTAGCCGATTCCACAGATGGTCACGGTGCCCTCAGCCAGGTGGACACAGGTAAGAAGGTCTTCTCTTCTGGGGATGGGGCAGGAAAGCAGAGTGTGAGAGAGTTTTTGAAAGTCTTCCAACAACATGGTATCTGTTCTCACTTGGTCCTTTAGCCAATCAGACCCAGAAGGTGGGCCCTAGGGAATGAAGGCATTCCCTGGGGACATGGGTAAGACCCGAGCCTTTGAACCGTACACCTGGATCTGCAGTGGGACAAACCTCTAGAACTTGGCTAGAAGGCCAGACCCTTAAAAACAAAACAAACAAGTCAGGGAGGAGGTTCATGTCTTGATGCTCCACTCCAGCCCCCTGAGGCAGCAGGCGTGTTCCCGGCAGGTGCTGTCTGCAGCAAATGGAGACCAGAGCCTTCCTCCCTCACCCCGATTTCTCATTGGTCCTCAAGGACCCACCAGACCCGTGTGCAGAGGCAGGAACTGGAGAAGGTGAAGCTGTGGGTGTGAGGACTCGCAGAGGGAGGCCTTTGCTGTGTGAAGAAGAAAGAGAGGCAGGGAGAATGGGAAGAAAGTTTCATACCTGCCTGCTTTTAACTCTCTAGTTCAGGCCTTGCTTTGAAAGCTCCATATAATTAAAAATAACTTAAAGAAAGATGAGTATGAATTGTAACCCCACCAAATAACTTTAATAGCATCCCAACAAGACTTCAATTAGCCTTTCATCTGGGTCATTGGAGATGCAGACATTAGAAATGGAAAGGAATTGGTGACCCCAGAGTGAAATACCTTCCCAGTCTTCAGGCAGGCCTCCCGGTACCGCCCGGTTCCATTCTTGAAGCTAAAAGACTGGGTAAGGGATAAAATAACGGAGTTCTTGTGGGCGGGGCATCTGCAGGATGCATTCTCGGTTCCATTTCTGCCCCCAATTTCATACTGAAACAGTGTCTGTTTGCACAGCAGCGTGGAGGCTGCTCGTTGACTTTGTGTGGAGACAGCTGAGCTGGGCGAGCGGGCCCGTGGCATCTGTTTTGCAGGTGATTCACTAGCTGAGTATGTTTTCCTGAGGTTCTGTGGGGTGAGACCCGTCTTTCCCAATTGAGAAGACAGTTCTTTCCAACCTCAGGAACTCCAACGAGGCCTTAAAGCCAGTCCAGCTGGAGAAGGCACAGTCCTGGCTCTGACACACTCTCCTAGAGAAAAACCGGGGCGGGGGGGGGCGTGCCAGGAGAGGAAGGGCTCCGCTCCCCAGGGTGGGGGTGGACGGAGGAGGCGCTGACAGTCTGGGTGAGGCTGGCCTCCTCTCGGGGACGTGGAGCTGGGGACAGGCAGTCGAAGGAGAAAGAATCCAGGTTGAACATAGGTTGAGACTTGGAACCTGATGTCATCTCAGGGTTACTGCCAATCAGTGTGCGCCCTGAGCCCGGCCACCGTGCCTCCGGGGGGCAGGAGCAGGTGGCCTGGAGCAGCGGGCTTAGGCTTGGACAGAGCGGGTGGGAGTCGCAGCTCTGCGCTTCCCCGTGCGTTATCAACACGTGGATTTAGGTGCGTGATCAACACGTGGATTTAGGTGCGTGATCAACACGTGGATTTAGGTGCGTGATCAATACATGGATTTAGGTGCGTGATCAATACGTGGATTTAGCCTCCCCGTCCTGTAACGGGACAGCTCGTGCACATCCCCGAGACTGGCTGAGAGCTGGCGGAGGGCGTGTAAAGGCCTTAGACCTGGCGTGGCTCATGGCGGCTGAGACCATCGCTACCTGAATGGCATTGTTGGGATTCTGTGACCCGGTAATACCTGGCGTTTTGGGGCTGCAGCCAGGGCGGCCCTTCTCCCCTTCATCTCTGCCAAGCAGGTCGGCCCCGGAGAGTGGTCTTTCTCCTTTCACCTTCAGTAAAGGTTGGTGTGTGGCTCCTGGACTCCAAGGAGACAAGTCCACGCTGCCCGGCACTTCCCCGCGGAGCCGTCCCTCCTCGGGGCCCAGCTCAGCGGCTGCAGCACCCCTATTAGGTGATCATCAAATCGCTGCATGTTTTCCAGGGCGAGAAAAAAGAGGTCGCTGATTAAGCAACCACACTTCCTGGAAAGCCACTGTGACTCAGTTCTTACAGAGAGCTAATTATGCGTCACCATGGTTACCAGCCTGGGTTAATGGCTTTCTTTGGGGTTCTAAGAGGCAGAGTCCTCCTCCCAGCAGGGCATGAATGAAGAGGTGGCTTGTGTCTGGGTTTAAAGGAACTATAAACAGAGGTGACCTAGAAAGCCCCAGTGCCCCAGGGCGCCTTCTGTGCTGTGTGAAATCCCCACAAGGCACAGGTTTGGGGGGCAGCTGGGAAGAGGAGCCGCTTTCCCCATCCTCACAGGCCCAGACGGCCAGGGCCCAGGGCGAGCAGTCCCAGGCCCAGACAGGCGCCTGGTTGGAAGGGACGGGGCAGGACAAGTCTTTCTCCCTCTCGTCCTCCTGTCTGGGAGTCGCAGGTGGAGGGTCAGCTGCCCAGGTCTCAGAGAGTGACAGCTCTAGGGCCAGGGAAGGCCCCGCCCTGCCCGTCCTTCCCACCCCAGCAGAGGCTGGAGCGAGCTGTTTCTGGATTTCTGCACTGTCCTCTCCGTCACCCCCACATCCCCCTGAATCGGGGCTCACTGGAGTGCTTGGTAAGGAGATGCCCAATGCATTCCACAAGCTCCCAGGGGTGATTGAGCCCCACGCACCCCTGCAGCGAGCCCACTCGTCTGACCACACTGGTCCCAGCTGACCGCACAGTGAGGAGAGGACAGAGACGGTCGGCTCAGTCCCCTGCAGGGAGACGAGGTCCCCCCTTGGCAGGTGAGGGCGTGGGGT